ATCTGGGCACCAGCTGCCTGCAGCAGCCCCCACATCTGGGCAGCAGCTGCCAGTGGCGCAGAGCGTACCCCAGAAACTGCAGCTGCCACTTACACCTTAAAAGCCAGGAAGGTGATGCCTGGCAAATGCTGGCGGGAGCTCTTGCTGCCACCCAGCGCTGGGAGACCCCCGGCTTGTCCCGGAGCGAGGGCCACTGCGAGAACGACCAGTGATCTCTGCTGCACCACGCTCGGCAGCGGCAACGCATTTATTTAGTGTGAAAGGGAGGGGCACCACCAACAACCGAAAAAGCAACTGTACACAGGAGAAGGGACCAAAGACAGTTTGGTGGCTTGTGGCAACGCCAGCAGCGGGGCCACCCTCCGGCAGTATGCCGGACTAACGACGGAGCGATCCCGCACGGAGCGCTGGGAGTCATTCCCGGAGGATGCGCAACCACACTGAAAATAATGTGGGGATCGGAGGAGTGCCAACACCGGCCGGCGGGGAGCCTGGCTCCCTGGCCGGACCCGCGCTCCCAGGAACCTGCTCTCGGAGAGGTCCTTGGCCCCAGGAGCCGCACACACACTGCCACAGCCAGCCCTGGGAAGGAGGCACCGCGTACGTCTCGCAGCGTAACCCACAGAAATGGGGCGCTCTGTGAGGATCACGAGCAACCGCTGAAATAATCCGCGCGGGTTGGAGCGAAGGGCACGTGTGCGGTGCCGACGACAGCACCTGCCCAGGCACGTGGCAGCCGGCTCGGTCTCGCCCCCCGTCCGGCGCCCGGCTGCAGAAGGCATGCTGCTGCGGCTGGCAGCACCCTGCGGCTGCGGGGGGGCACGGGTCACGCAGCTGCTTGAAGGGAGCCACAAACCCGGTGGGGAGGAGTGTTCAGTCCAGGCTCAGCATCCCAGAGGTAAAGCCGTCTGGGGGTGAGCTTCCTGCTCAGGGAGGATGATTTTCAGGGGTGACTTGCAATTTCAGCAGAAGTCTTAGCGTCAGCACCAATTAACTTCCTCCCTCAGCCCCATCTGAGACCCAGATGGGAGGCACAAGCCAGCCTGTCCCAAGTCTTCTGGTGTTTGCAACTTAAAATATGGGCGCAGACTTTAGTAAGAAATAGGTTTTGCTTTCCTGAAGAGTCATCCCGTATCCTGCCATTGGTATTTCCAGCACAAAAATCCTGTCTGCATTTCTCCCCAGTGATACTGCCAGGGTGAGCTTTGGTATCAACCACCTGGCTAACTCCTAAATCACTGTATGAGGGAGACAACTAGGCCATCTGACACTGCTGGGACAACTCGAGTGACAAACAACTCAAAGGTAACAAAAGGACCAGGAAAGTAATACAGAAACATGACCTCGCTTTGAATCGCCTGCCTTTGGGTTGCTTACAACAGACATATTCAAAAAATAGCTGTTGGGAAAAATTAAGACATACTATTTACAAATTCATATGCACTTAAAATACGTAATTGAGCCCTATTCCTCTGATAATGCATGTCGAGAATGTAGCTCAGTCAGTCACCAAAAAAATCTTTAAAGTTTTTTTTTTTCCTTAAAAAAAATAAGTTATTTTAGACCTGACAAATCACTTGCCAAAGGGAAGCAGCTGTTAAACAGAAGCAGTTACTCGGCTATACAAGGGCAAAGAAAGCATCAGTCAATGAGCTTTAGAGGCTTGTATAACGGAGGAGGAATTTTAAATGCTTTAAGAAACTCACTCTCCAGCTAATGGTTGTTTGCCAGCTTTCAGCATGCCTCCACCCCAGTTATTTTAGACCTGACAAATCACTTGCCAAAGGGAAGCAGCTGTTAAACAGAAGCAGTTACTCGGCTATACAAGGGCAAAGAAAGCATCAGTCAATGAGCTTTAGAGGCTTGTATAACGGAGGAGGAATTTTAAATGCTTTAAGAAACTCACTCTCCAGCTAATGGTTGTTTGCCAGCTTTCAGCATGCCTCCACCCCAGTTT